CTCAGCTTCAGACTTTTGCTGCTTTGTTGAAGCAATTGCCGGATCTTCAATGAGATGCAAATAGTAGTGATTCAGAAATCGAGCCATCTGAAAACAATTGCTTCTTCGAGCCACTTTCTTGACAGTTATTCATATTAAATTACGATGAGGCAAAAAATACAACCAAATGTGGGTAATTTTGTGATTAACATTTTCACTAAAGGAGGGTTTGTTTGCAGCCGTCCCTCTTTCACAGACAAGTTGCTACAAGAGTATCTCGAATACGATGAATTTGATTCATGAAATAAGGAAAAGATTCTTCCTAAAAGCAAAATTTGTCATTGTTCTGGCAGGCATCGATCGTTGGTAAGGTTGAAAAAGAATCAAGATTCCATGAAACGATCTGAGAAAGAAATAAACGTTCACGGAATGAAATGTAATACCTGAGTGGATTGTGCAGTGACATTTGTGAGATGGCAAATGAACAGTAATATGTTTCGTGGTTGCACATGCCATGCAAAGCGCATGAATACCGATGAATAAAGGCATAACGCTGTTGTCATAGGTCCTACAATGCATTTCCAATCAATCAAAAACATTCAATCAAAGCTAAATTCCAAAATCCACACTTGATAATACCGAATTTATGATAATCCCCGACCTAATTTATGTGAATCATAGAAGAAATTCCGCTAACAATAACTGCCTTTTCCAAATTGAAAAGATAACAGATCAATATTCGGAAATCACAACAATTCAGAGAATAACTCTATCGCTGCTGAGTTCCTCTCCTCTAAAAAACAACACAGCAAAATCGCCTTCAACCAACACGAACCTGATATCATGTCAGGATCTTTTTTCAGGTCAGCAATCGCCGCCAACGGTAGTCCCCAGTTGGCGACAGGTCCCCAAAAATGAGTTGACATAAAATAATCCATCCATTCTTTGCGTGAAGAGCGCATAAAATATGCTGTCACCGAACGTGCTATGCTGCCCATCTTCTCTTCGATTATTTATCAAACTGCAATACAAATTCAAATTGCTCACTCCGAATCAATTATTCGAGTGTTAATTGCGAGCGCGATTCGACGATACAGCAAAAATGGAGTTACCAAGCAAATAAATGAATTCAGATGCAACCGACGCATACCTATACCTGTAAACACAATAAACGACACGATATGAACTCCTATCTTTAAACGATATGAAAGCACAAAATAAAAAATAACACATGTGTTGGAAATACCCATCGATATATGCAATGGAAATATCATATAATAGATTAAAACTCACATCACCACATCTATGGACGAGACACTATCAATGAATACGACGTAATAACTTATATGAGATTGACGGTTCGTGATAAAATGTTAAACGGTTTACCGTTGAACATAATAAATTTTTTTCAATCAAATTCATAAAATTTTCTATCATTCCTTATCAGTGGTTAGATTCTACTCGTTTATTTGTAAGATTAAGCATGATGTCTTCGATTTTAACTTCCATACGAAATTCTCTCGTGGATTCCACCATTCCTAATATGGCATCAGGATGGGATTCTTACTATCACAAGGGAACTCGCAAGTTAAGACTTTCCCGTATCGATCATGATGTTGGTTACAATCTTCATTTATTTAGTTGTTAGTCAGCGATTACAACCCATTAAAAGTTGATGCACCTCTGCTACCAGCAATATCACATTGTTCATTCACTGGCAGCGTTCTCTTCACCCACTTAGCGATGTTAGCACAAGGAATCAGCGTTCGTCCTCATGTAATTTCTAATCCCGATTATAGGCAGTCACAATATGTCTGTCACATCACCACGAAAAGTCCCCCTCTGAAGAGGTCATTTTTCAGCAATAAAACAATGAAAGCATGAAGTATCTTTGATTTATGCACTTCCAGCTACAATAAAAGTTTTTTGAGTTCAATAAAATACATCTCATATCAGTAAGAATTGACATTTTTGATATTTGATCTCTTCTTACGTAAGAATAAAATGCATCGCGTTAAGCACTAATAGTGCTTACAATTAGCAAAAAAAAAGGTTTGCTTTGTCAGCAATTCAAACTCGACATCAAAATGATAATTTCAAACTGAGATCAGAACATTAAAGATCAACTGTTCCTGTACATATGTATGTCTATTGCTGTCTCATGAATATCATGAAACGATATCAATATTTCATGAAACGAATTGAGTAACGATCAAATAATAAAACTTTGTTGTCATTCAACTAATATCAGTAGGGAATTGGGCTGTAAGAACGAGTTGGACGACTTCGGTGGGACATGACCGATACAAGTGGCTGAGTTCGGAAAGTGAAAATTATTTCAATTTGTGACATTCGCTTTAACAGATAATCAATATTCCGAGTGTTGTGGAGGAGGGATCGAAAGAAAGTGATTGCAATGCAAACAGCAATAAACTTCAAATGGCAATGAACTAAAATTCTACTTGACAATTTTTCTTTGCAGAAATTACTTTAACTGAATGAAAGTATTGAATATTCTCGTTAACTTTTCACAGACTCATGAACAGCTGAAAGGAAACTGGACAGAAAATGCAATTTGTTCAATCAATCGAATAAATTAGTCTGTGTATGCGCTTTGACTCACACTCAATTGTAACACATTCGAATACGCACAATGTGCTGCTATAACTATGTCTGTTTTCGTGTATGTATATACAGCGCACAATATCGATTGAGTTAACAATTTGATTTTTCTTTCTACACATAAAAATTCCAGGCTTCCGAACGTCAAGACAGTTAATTCTTCAGCTTGAAATAATTCTCCACATAAGAAAAGAATTCCGCGCGAATCAATCTCATGATGGAAATGGAAATTCGCTGTTTGTTTGAGATTGGTTGTGCTCATTTGTTGGATTCTCACTCATGGATCATTTTTGTGAGGCCTACACCTCGAAGAAGTTTGCGGAGCAATGAATTTCTTGCTCTAATGTGATGATATTTCTCGAAAAGAGCGAAATAACAGCGAGCGAGAAATCATCATTCATCACAAATGAATCCGAAAATGTTTGCTTTATAATCTGTTGTTCCCTTTCGAATCTACACATTCAAGAGCTCCAAGTCACCAAATGAATTTGATATTTCCAGGAGAGGAGAAGACCGCAGAAAGCAAGTTTCCTCGCTCACAATATCAATAAAACTAACAAAAAAAAACATTCAATACGTTTCTAGTCATATGCCAAACACATAAAACGTTGTCTCGAGAAGAGATTTCGCCGTTCTTGGCACCAACCCATAACACAAG